GACTGTAATCGCTTCATCATACTGCAGTTTGTCATCTGCCGTGGGCAGAAAGTCCTGCATGGTGCCTGATTTCCTCGCATCACTTTAACTGCAGCGGTGGGCTGACTTCACTGCTCCGAGCATCTCTGTCGTAGTTTGTGCATCGGCCGGTTTGCGGATGGCTCAGACGTACCCTAGGTCATGTGACCAGCGGGGCTCTGAAGTCATAAAGAGAACTGGCAAGGCAGCAGAAGTGCAGTGCAGCTGAGCAGAGCAGTCTCTGCAGCTTCTGTAGTTGTTGCAAGTCGGCAGTTCTGCCGTCCTGTTGTGGAGTCCCGTGTGCATACCAGCCACGCTATCCCAAGACAAGAATAAATGCATGGGGGTAGCACTCAAGCCTCTGTGGTACCACGGTCCCGGAGCAGGGTTCTCCGCACATGTTAGTGTAGGAGGAGTCGGGGAACTCGCAGGTGGGCTGAGTTTCGGTTTCACTCTGGCTGCCCTGCCTGCGCAGATGAAGAACATGTTGCCCATGGATACCAGCATGCCAGTTAAAGGCATGGTAAATAATGAGCACCAGTGACGTGTGCTGGGCAGGCTGCCGGACAGGGGTTTGAGAACAAAGGCGCGCTGCCGCCTTGTCGCCTACTTTGTACTGTCCTACTCTGCCCCTGCAGCACATCCTTGCTGTGTGAAGGTGTTGCATTGTCGCAGTGTGTCACAGCTAAATGGAGTACTTCCCGGCACAGTCCGTGGGGGTGACGGGCTGTAATCGTGCCCCCAGGACAGGGGACACTCCAGCCACGCAACATTAGAACATCGCGCTTTTATCTTACAGTACGTGGTGCTTTACTCCCTGATCTGAGAGCTGTCAGGATAGGACCTTCTCTCCCTCCCTTCCCTGTGTCCACAGAGGATGAGACACCTAGGCATCTATAGAAAGTCTTTACCCTGAATAGATCTGAACGTCCCGTCTGGCTGATCGGCATAAACTGAAGCGCTGCAGCAAACGATACTCTGACATTCACTGCAGCCCCCCCCCTTGCTCTCCCTCTGTCTCTCTCTCTCTCTCACTCTCTCGTTATCACTCAGGAGGAGAGTTGCCCCGATTGTATATAATCGTGTCCTGTATGCGGCGTGGCTGAACTAGACTGCAGCAAGTTCAGATTTCATGGGTGACTCGAGGTGAATGAAAATGCAGATCTGGAAGGGAGTCACACTGACGCATGTGGGCATCGCCACCCGAATGTGGCAGCTGCTGCTTTCTGTCCCACACTGACGCATGTGGGCATCGCCACCCGGCGTCCTGCTAGTGCTTTAATAGGTTTGATTGTCTAGTTGATGTTTTATCCAAGGTGGCTTAAAATGTGCCCCTTCAAGCTATGGTAGATTTACCTGGGGAAATGTATTTGAGAGCCCTGCTCAAGGGTAAAAGTGCCAGATTTCCTTTCAAAGTGCTCAAACTGCACTTCTGAATCTGCACTGCTACTCGATGTCACAGGGTCCTTTGTGGCCCATGATCTACTTTCAGTGAGTTGTGTAGATGTTGTGTGAATCGCTCACTGCTGCCTGATCCATTGACTTTGGGAGCGCGGCCCAAGGGACACGTTAGCTGGATCAGCAAGCTGCTCTCTTGATGGTGCATCGTCCCGTCATGGTGCTCCAGTCCTGATGATGCAATCAATGCAGCAAGCTTTGAAGTTGCCGGGTAAGGGATCCACGCGCTCTCTCATTGACTTCACTCCCTTTTTGAGTAGTTCTGCTTGGGCTGCACAATGCAGACAGCAATCAGGACCTTGGTGAGGTCATACAGGCCTATAATTTTTCTTATTAGTCAGATAGTAGGGACTTGACATGCCCTATTGGTCTAGTAAAGGATGCTAGAATGTTTTTATTGGTTAAGCAGGGGAACCTTAGACTCAAAGGGAATTTACTAGAGGATAGAAAACCAATCCTGCAGATCTTTTGCAAACTTGATAAATGTCCTTCCAAAAGGAACAGTCACACCTCCTTTTCCTTTTGCGTTCCTGCAGTAGTAGGGCTTTTAGTCTTAATGTAAAATTGTTTACTGACCATTATTGTATATTAATTGGAAGGCGGAAGCACTCTATAAAACAGAGGCTAGTGCGAGTTTAATAAGAAGGTCAAACAGGGTGTAAAGAATTTAGCTGGACCAAACTACTGGATCTAAATTAATTAGTATTTATCACAAACTGGAGATTTAGCTTAAACTGCATTCACCATTAATTAAACTGTAGGATAGCACAAGGAAAATGCTGCATTGACTGCAAATCCAGTCAGAGTGAGCAATAAAAGTACTGCATCCATTCCTTAGGCTGAGCTCGGTGTGTGTCTCTGCTGGGCCGCAGCCCAGAGTGACTTTGTCCCTTCACTGGCGAGGTCACCACTGCCCCCCCCCCTCCCAGCACAGCTTCTGTGCAGCTGCAGGCCAGTGCGGCATAGTGCAGCAGGAGGGAGCACTGCATGCTGGGAGCTCAGCTGAGCTGCGCTGCAAACCTACCCAGCCATGAACTCCCACTTCAGCAGAAACAGTCCCCCGTAACTCAACTTAAGCTCCTCTTAGTCACTTAGGAGAGACTGCTAACTATATAAAAGCAAGAATATAATCAGACATAGCTTGTATCATTTTTAAAATTTAATAGTTGATCTATTTTCCAAGTATGGTTCGCAATATTTGATTGCGATAACTGATTATGGATGACAGTATTAAAAAGAGACATGTGCATATGTGGATTTTACTCATGCTAAAATCATTTCATAAGTTATTCTTACCATCCCAGCTGCATTTGCAGTCCTTCAGCAATGCTTTTGCACAAATCTGCATGTCTGCATTTCTCTGCAGATAACCCAGTCTTCACTTCACCTTTTCCACACCAGACAAATAGTAGGCACCATAAAAACTTATTGCATGACCAGAAAATGTCATTTATACTTAATATAGGCTATTATGATATATAGGCTCATTTCTGACCAATGAGCTCATTTACTGCAGAAATTACGAGCATTGTTAGAATACCTTTGTTCTTGAGTGGTGTGTCATCTGTAACATCTTTATCACCTTGCTTTTGATGCAGCCAGGGCCGTTGGATGTTGCCTTTAAATGTTGACTACAGCATGCTGGGTACAGAACACTGACTACTGTTCATATTTGTGAAAACACTTTGTCAGCATCAATAATTGTGTTAATTAAAAGGTCATGTACTTGCAGTAGTGAAATGTTGGCTAGGTAGTTTGTAAATTCTTCATGATCTTTTCCTTTATACTTTATATTATGAGATTCATGTAAATTTACTATATTTTCTTGATCAACTGTTTTATTTTTTGTAGGGACATCGCTGGGGGGGGGGGATGTTGGAGTCTATCCCAGGCAACATAGGGAACCAGGCAGGGGTGAACCTTGGACAGGATGCCGGTTCATTCCAGGGCACATGCACACTGACACTCTATCGGTAATTCAGAGACACCACTTAGCCTAACTGCACGTCTTTGCACTGCGGCACAAAACCAGACTATGTAGAAGAAACAGGGTTTTTTTTGCGAACTTGAAACACAACAGAGGAGGGATTCGAACCCTCAGATCAGGAGGTGTGTGTGTGCTGCCACCACACTACTCAGGCAGGACTTAAATAGTATTCGGTTTAGAAGAAGAAGCTTCAGTATTAAGCTTCTATGGTTGTTTTCACGGGGAAAAGCATTTAAGAATGTTTAGAAATATGTGGCGCTCTATGTGGAAAACAAACAATAAAATAATACTAAAATAAAGAAAAATATTATATACAGGGTGGACCAAAAGTATGTATAGAGTTTTTATGGTTCCATTTTACACAGTAAAGTTTTTCTTTTACAAAGTTCTTCTTAAAAGTAGGTTTTCAGTTTTTTTACAGTACTGATTGGGTCGTGTTTAGTCTCTTAGGTGTTTGTGTCCTCTGTCAGTGCTGATACAATCCAGTCAGTGCTGATACAATCCTGTCAGTGCTGCCATGTCACCCAAACCCACTGCTTTTGTCAAGGTAGCTCCATACCGTCAAAGTAACTTGGTAAAATATAAACTGTACTTTGTAAAATAGAATCCTTACTTTGTAAAATAAAAACCATACCTACTTTTGGCCCACCCTGTATTCTATATAAATATAAATATATCTATATTAGAAGAAAAGCCTGTTCTTTAACTAAGACTGTTAAGCTTGTCCTAGAAGTGTAAACTAAAACATCTATTTGCAGCTGGTTTTTTATACACTGAAGCAGTGACAGAGTTAGGGCACTAGGCTATGGTAGATGGCACTGAGAAGGGAAGGAGGAGGATTGCTTGAGGATTTGAATTCACAGTGACACACGAAGCAGATTGATGCAAATAGACTAATTAGGTATCTAATTAAAATTGTAGCTTTGTATACTGTGTGTGTGTGTGTGTGTGTGTGTCCCCACAAAGATCTGTGAATGCAATCAAAACACTAAAAATTCCGAAAGTCTCGTATTTAGTTTGGTTACTTATGGTTAAGGTCAGAGCTGGGTAGGGGGTTAGGGTGGATGGGATTAGAGTTTTCCCCATAGAAATGAATGGAGAGTCCCCACAAAGATATTATCACAAACCTCTGTGTGTGTGTGTGTGTGTGTGTGTGTGTGTATACATAATACACAGTGTATATTTTTCGTATATTATTATATCTTTCATATTTGTGTAGTAACTATGCTACTTTACTTTTCTCTGGGCTCTGCAGGAAGGTTTTTCTCCCCTGCAAATGGAAAATACTTCTATTTAGAGCATAAGTATATAAATTGCAGCGAATTCAGCGGTAATAATGTTAAAGCCGTTTCATTAAATAGTTACATTCCATATTATCTTAGGCTTTAATAAGAATGATCTGTGGCTTGACCAATCACACCCCTAGTGAAGAGCAAATCACTGGCGGGGGAAGTGGCGGGCATGTCAGGACTTGTTCACCATGCCTGGTGAGAGAGAAGTGTGCAGACGGCAAGCTGGCCCAGTGGTGAATGAAGCTAAGGAGAGGAGCAGGCTTGTCTCACTCCCTCTGCTTCTTTGCTGGATGGAACTGTGATCTAGTCAGATGGAGCTTTTATCTGCTTTTTCAGGCTGAAGGTTTGAACCACCAGCCTTTTTGTTACAGAACAACAGAGAAGCGTTCAGTTACTTCCTTAAGAGCTGCTTTGGCTGGAAAGATGGACGGACGGACGGACAGATGATAGATAGATAGATAGATAGATAGATAGATAGATAGATAGATAATCTTTTTTCTCCACTCTGTTCATGGGTAACCTGCACTCAGATTCATTCATTCCTGTCTTCTTTTTGATCAACAGACTGCAAAACTGCATGTGTGTCTTTGTGACAACTGCTGGTCATCAGAATATTGATGTAGGACTTACCAGGACTTGAGGGTGAAGGCACTATTGGAACTTCAGCCAGGCCTCATGCCAATGCCCATATTACAGATGCTGATGCCAGACGTTCCGCAGGTTGTATAGCAACCCATGACTGGGACCACTGCTTTCTGGGTAAGATATTTTTCATACATGTCTCATTGTACGTAAAATATGCCCTTAAATTTGTATTAAGCATGTCTGAATATTACAAAGCATATTCAAAGTATTTTACTTTCTGTACATGCCATTATGTAACAATGTTATATAACAAAAAACAGATATTTTCATACTGTAAAAAGCAACCATTTCAATTGTATGTTGTCTGAAACTCACACCAGAAGCTTGGCTGAACCAGATTTTACTGCATGTGACCCATCTAAGCTAGAAACCTGAAAATCTATTTCTTAACAATGCATGATACATTTTTAATGTTTCATTGACTCTGAGAAGTCAAAATGCCCCCCCCCTAAGCAATTAATTAAAATGTAGTACATTTTTTCAGGAAAGTATGAAGTAAAAAACTAAGTGAATAATATCACATAGTCGCTTCTCTTCTCTGCTGTAAAGTCACATTACACCTGGCATGAGTTTCTGCTATGTCCCTTTCCATTGTGTGGTTTTATACATCATTAGCATGCTAAATACATTTGTAAATTGATTTGCTGAGGTGGTACGAATGATTTATCAAGCTAACCGGCTACACATTAATGTGAACTGTGTTTCAGATTGTACTTCCTCCGAAACCAGTTATGAGCACAGCATACTGCTTTCAGATCAGTTCTAACACTCAGCTCTGGTACAGTAGCTCTAAGCAGGTTTCTCTGTACAAATTTGGTCCAAATGTAAACCATATGCAGTATTACATGTATATCCGACACAAACCAAACTAAACATAATGCCAGTACAGTAAGTTGTATAAAGGTATTCCATATACAGATCATATCCACAAAGTAAATCAGAGAAAAACAGTGTTTTTACATTATCAATTGAACTGTATACAGAATAAATTGTAGAATCGTTCTGCATGAGACATTACATTGATTACTGATATCAGTAAGAAAATGATATTCAAAATTTTAACATTTGTTTGATATATCAAAAGCTGGATGTGCACTTAGTATTAGAAACAGTCTCTAATGGCAGTGACAATTTTTAGGATATATTTCATTCCTACTGCATAGACCTGCCCTAGACACACAAATATTCGATCTAGAGACTGGTGGCAGACTTTTCCACGTCATCAGCCCTCATGAGATAGAGACCGTTAATTATTCAAATAGATTGATTAGTAAACTGATGGGGTAACCTGATAGGGATGGAACAGGAATGCAGTGTCTTCTGTGTCCTCTGTGTCTTCTGTGTCCTCTACCTGATTCTTCCACTAAATGATGCATTAGCAGATTTGACTGTCATTGATGCCAGGTGGAGGGGTTGTACCATGGTCTATACCACGGTCTATACCACGGTCTATATCATGTCAGTAATGGTGGGGAAATATGTTATGATCACAACTATCCTCAAGCCGTAATTTTACATAATTCAAAACATACTTATTTTAACTATATGCAGATATTACGGGTCAGGATGTTATGCATATTATTTTTTAAAGCATAATATACCATATTTTTATAAGGAAATGATCCTGGTAGATACAGAGTTTTACCATTGTAATTATAAAGACAGGCCATTTTGATCTCATATGTACAGTAGGTGACTATGTAAATCACGAAAACCACATACCAGTAAAGTTCCTTTACTTCAACCTCATACCCCATATCCTTTTGGAATTTAGCATTAACATAAGAATCAAAATCAATCAGAATCAGATCCAGAATACTTTATTAATCTCCGGGTGAAATTTAGTTTTGTTACAGTTGCTCCAGCCAAGAATAAAAGTAATAATGAGAAACTATTAGCAAAAAATCTGTTGGATGTAATTGGTTGCATCAGGAAACACTGTAAATAATTTCATTGTATGGTTCCACATAATAATTTAATTCGGTTACTTTATGTCACTCTGAAACACTGAAGCGTAGAGTCAGTCTTATAACATTTTATGTCACTTGAATGAAAAAAAGTGTCATAACACAACTTTATGACAGTCGATATAGGTGGTACTTGACACAGAAGTTCCCAATATCAGCATTTATGACAACTACAAAAGTTAGAATGAACCTTTATAAATGCCTTTGTCAAGATATGTCAGTTGTCACGAAGGGCTTATTTGGTGTCCTGTACTGTTCAATGAGCATGTAAAGAATTTCAGCTTTTACTTCCTGGAATTTAAACATAGATCCATTAAACATAGATCCTTTTGTATCAGACCACTTAAATTTTAGATGAGAAACAGTACGGGGACATGTGACTGACAGGTGTTTCATGTTATTCAGGTGTGTCCTGATAGATTGACTGTTTTAAACAGTAGATCACTCTGAATGTCTGCTCTTGGTTTTAGCCTTGGGTTTAAACTGTGAAGACTGTATTTGTTGTTAAAATGTATAAACCAGCATGAAGACCAGAGAGCTGCCTATGGGGGAAAAGCAAATCATTCTGTATCTGAGAAGAGGGAAAATCAATCAGACGGATTGCACAAACGTAGCCAATACGACAGTTTGGAATGTCCTGTACATGAAAGAAACCCATTAGGCACTGAACAGCAGTCAGATCATATCCAGTTGCTTATTAAGCAACAGATTGGGTTAGTCAAGGAAAACAACAGCTGACATTGCGAGACCTGTGAAAAGAACCCAAAAACAAGTCAGTGACATCACCAACGATTTCCACAGGGCAGAGGTGAGGGTATCACAATCCGTCATTCAATGACGCTTTCAAGAGCAGATATGCCATACCACAAGATGCAATCCACTCATCAGCAGGAAGAATCAGTAAGCCAGATTGGAACAGTACTGAGATGAGCCACAGAAGTTCTGGAGCAAAGTTTTATTGACTAATTAGGCGAAGATTAACTGGGAAAATGTTAATTTTTATTGATTCTATTCTATTCTGTTCTATTCTATTCTATCCTGTTAATTGTTGTTAATAATGTTACTTGTTATTTAAATATTGATAATATCTGTAGGCTACGAAATACAACACCCTGCAAAGTAAATGATGGAAATATTTGAAAACCAGTACAAACCTGTTACATTTCTATAAGCAGGTGAGCATCAAAAGTCTGCAGGCTGATACTGAATTGATGTGACGCATATGAGGGGCCAGCAATGGAAATGACAGCCTGATGTGGCTGACTGAAAACAAGGCGTATATTCCTTTTTGCAGCATAGACGGGTTTTGACCGCCTGTTCAATCAGAAAAAATTTGCTTCAAGAAGAAGATTAATAACTTAATGTCATATTTGAGTAACATTGAGTAATTTCTGCATAGTTGGAATTTATGCCATTTCCATACAACAATTTTCCAGCCACTCATCAGTACAAGGTCATGGACTTACGGCACTCTCTCCTCTTTTATTCTGGTGTTTGTATTCAAGCGTGCCATTTTATTCAAGCATGTTCCTTTTCAATAAATAGGAACTAGGAAACCAGCATCCGTGTTTTAATGAATTGTCAGCCAAAATTTCATAACTCACACTTGATTTTCTATGAGCTAGACACAAATTTCACTGGATTTCTATTTCACTGTCCTATTCAGGATTCTGTATTACAAGGAGAAATTGTTGAATTTTAATTCAGTTACTTTCAATTTTACTAAAAAAAACACCAACCGGTCCTCTGTGTAATTAAGAAATGTAAGCATTTTTCTAATTATTTCCCAAAATATTTTTTTCCTCCTTTAGAAGTGAATTTACTAGTATTATTTTTGGCATATTTTCTATAATTGCCTCTGTTTTCTAATACTTGTAAAATTAAACTAATTAGTTTAAGACAGAATTGCATTTCTTTATAGGGGTACCCAATAGCTTTCAAGCAAATCTTGCTTGTCAGCTTATATCTGTGTGTGAGAAGCTCATGGGTATTTCCCACACTTCAAATACTTGGTACATTGGTAACTAAATTGCCTTGTGTGTGGGGGGGGGGTATGTTTTTATTACATTGTGGGGACCAAATGTCCCCACAATGTGATGAAAACCTGTTATTCTGACGCTGTGGGGACCATGTTTTTTTGGTCCTCATAGGATGTTATAAAAATCTGCAATCAAAAACTTGCCAAAAGTAAATTTTGCTTTTTTGCTTATGGTTAAAGTTAGGGCTGGGTAGGGGTTAGTTGTCATTACTAGGATTAAGGTTATGCCCATACAAACGAATGGTAAGTCCCTACAAAGATATGAATACAAACAGAATTGAAAAATGCAAATCAGAATTAGCCACTACAGTATGCAGGTATTAAAAATGGACAAATATGATTGTTATGCATTAGTCTTTAATGTGTTTAATGCACATAAATGAATTTTCTCATACAGATCCTGAACCGTGTGTCGTGGGATGTTGGACTGTTATCAAACCTCCTCCAGTTGTTTGACAGATGAAGGAGGTGGAAATATATTCTATGTTTTGTGCTCCAGAACTTCAAATAACAGGTTATAACCAACAGGTTTGAGCCAAAGCCAGGCTCAGACCAGCAAGCTTCCAAGCGCAGAGGACTAAGTTACTGATCCACACACCACTTCTTATGTGCTTCTTAGACCAGGATATAAATCTCGCGCATGGGTCTTGGATCAGTGCAGTCTCCAAACAGCAGGACTGATACTAACTCAGGCTTTGTGGAGCCTCACATTATGTAGTTTTTGTTGAGACTGAGAAACAGAGGTCCTCACTTCAAGCAATATTTATATGGCTTTTGGAAACTGTTTTTAAGTGTCCATCTATCCGTGTTGGTGATCAACTTGCACCAACTGGTCCCAATTTCTGATGCACTTTCCATATCTGCCATATGTGCTCTTGTGTTTGGAGGCTATTCTTCTTCACACGATAAATCATTTTGCAGTTTTTCTAATAGATGCTCCAGCGGTTGAGGTACAGATTCTTTGGCCTCAGCAGACCTATTAGTTGCCTCATTCTGTTTAGAAAACTCACATATCAAAGTACAGACAGTCAGGTCCCTTTTTGTGCACACATACAACTTTAAACAATATTGAAATTGTTTTTAATATGGTGTTTAAGATATTTTAGTCCACTATGTATAATAGGTGTTTGCTGTGCCTATCTTGGTTTGTTGGAATATAGTTGACTGGGTGAAGAACCACCAGACCAGTTCCAGTGTTAGGATAATAGAATAGAATAGAATAGAATAGAATAGAATAGAATAGAATAGAATTTTTTCACCACCAGCTCATTTAATTTATTAATAATTAGTTACATTATTTCATGAAGTATTGCCTAGTTCAGGGGTGTCAAACTCTGTGCCCTGTGTAGCGTAGTTCTTTCCCACAGGGCAACACAAGCCCCATTTCCTGACACATGTCAGTAGCTTTGGAGTTAGCAATAGGTAGCAAACCGGGAGGTGATTGGTTGAGTATTGATACATATTGGGAGGTGATTGGTTGAGTACTGATACATATCGGGAGGTGATTGGTTGAGTACTGATACATATCGGGAAGTGATTGGTTGAGTATTGTTACATATCCTCACCAGCACCCAGCCAGTCAGATCATATCCAGATGCTCATTAGGAGCATTTGATGAAGTTTCCCCTGGGATCTTTGCTCTGAAAACTGCACAAGTTTTAAAGTGAGGCTTAAATTACAGCTGGCTTTTGGATTTCCAAATCATTTTCTCATACTTGAGAAACAGAAAGTGCCATTCTTTAGTATATTAATCATAAAGCAATATATACCATATTAGGTGATATATTTTGCAGTATGTTAGTCTTCTTTTTTAATTTTTTTTTCACATACCAAATGTGTTTTTGGTATAGAATTTAGCGTTAGCCTCCATGATTGAATATTTGTGTTGTTTATTCATGTGTACAGTAAAAAAATATATATTGTGTTGAACGAAAGCTGTCTGAAAGTTATATCGATAAGAAGACATTAAGGAATTGTATATGCTTATGTGGTGCATAAATGACTCATATTTCCCAATATGGTCCTTGGGGAACTTCAGACAGTCCATGTTTTTTTCTCCCTGCCAGGAAAGAAGCAAAAATGTGGCCTATCAGGCAGAGAACTGGGAGGGAGCAAAAACATGGACTGCTGGGGTTCCCCGTGGACCGGGTTGGGAAATACTGCTGTAGAACATGGTATGTTCTTCAAGGAGCAAATTGTAATTAGGTTTGTTTTTAAATGTAATACTCAATGTAGCAGGAACTGCAGGTCATACTATACGTTTTTGTGAGTCTTTTCCTCATTCAGGTAATGCTCTCATTATAAGCCTGGCATTTGTCCTCTGTGAAAAGCGGCTGACTTATCACTAACTAAGGTGTGACCAGAAGAGCATTAATCCAAAAGTCTATGGAAGGTGACATTTAAGGTCTTTCTATGACATCAGGTCCCCTAGCCTCCAGTGAGGGGATATGGAGCCCTGTCAATCATAAACCCTGCTTAGATACCACACTAAAATGAATTCCTCACATGCTCTCATTTCCTGGTGGTCTGATGCAACAGTGAATTAGTTTATCTTAATGGAATTATTATGAGTAATGAATTCCAGACTGTCTCCTGTTGAGTTGCTGCCTCTGTCTGAGCTACACGCTGATGCAGGGACCTTCCTTACAGCTGTGCAGTGATGTCCACATTCCCATTGTGACAGCCATGCATGTAGCTATCAGCCAGTAGACCTCCAGCCCCCTTTGCATGGTCTGCACCCTGCCACAACCTTTCTTGTACCTTCTTTCTCTGTGACTCACCATGTGGCTACTTCAACATGGAGTTTTTGGCACTTTTCAGAGCCACACTGTGAAAGCGGGTCTGGTCTCATGGGGTTGGGAGCGGAGCTGGCCACAGGTTAGCGTCCAGAAACAGACAAAGACCAGGTGTGTTACACATAACGCTCAGGCAGGTGGCTTATCCTCCTCAGGCATGGGTTTGAGGCCCTTTGTTTATCTTTGTTTATCCTCTGTCCCGTGTTGCCGAATCCTCATTTTCTCCTGCCAAAATGTAAATGCTGCTCTTTCACCTCTTCAGCAACAGATCTGCCAAGCGCACGTGATCCTACTGTATGCAGAGAAGCCTTTAAAGATATCACCTGTCAGTACCAGCACATGCCCAGCAGAACCTATCCCAGTACTGGTGTCATGTGACCAGGGCCTTTGAACTGCTGAGACAGGTGACTGAAACATGTGGTGAGTTCAAAACTACTCTAGTAGGTCAATATTGTGTACACATTTCCAATTTTTAGAGATTGCAGAACCCTATTCTAGTTACTCCAGTTACTTATTTAATTGTCCAATGTATGATAATTATAAACATTCTTTTATTGTTTATAAACATTACCACCCATAATCATGTAGTAATTTGTAAAGCGTAATGCCAAAAATGCGAGGTGTTTCCACAGTTTTGACCATATATATGCATATATTTTTTTGTGTGTGGCTTTTGTGGGTAGTTTTGGATTACATTCATTTTATGTATATGTCCTTGGTTTTGTAAATATAATTTCAAACAGCATGTAGTTCAAAGTAAAAGGTACATCAGATATGCTGTATATTCCACAACATCTTTAATTCTGTCGTTGAAGTATCCATGTTTAAGAAAGAAAAATAATTGATTTACACAAATAATTTAACTGAAAATTATTCTTTTATTTTCAGAGACACAGAGTCTAACCTTCTCAGTGTCGGGCAGAAAACAGACTGAACTGCACAAAACTCTGTGCTGACGGGCAGTGGACAAGGGTAACTGTGCTGATGGCCAGTGGACAAGGGTAACTGTGCTGTTTTGCATGCACAGTCTTCAGAACTAAACTGCCATCCCAGCTTTCCGGCAGTACATTAACAGGGACTCCATAAGAACCTGACAGAGCGAGAGACTCAACCAGGACTCAGCAGGGACAGACTGAGAGTGAAGTCTTAAGCGTGCTGTGGGTGTTTCTCTGGCAGTGTCTTAGCTGGTTGTTGTGAGGAGTGAGAACGAAGCAATCAGCAAGTATACTGCCGTAGAAACTCCTCACCCAGTCTCCGGCTTACTATGGGTAGTCAAGGAAACAAGCAAGGAAAACTTAAGGAAGAGTTGTACACATCCCACATGAAGAAAAATCAAGGGTTCATTATTAAATAATTTGCTGGTGAATTTGGAAATGTGTGCTTGTACGTGAGGGGTGGGGGGGGGACAGTTTCCAGGAGATCATGGATCACTTTTGAGATGGAATAGACAGTGATCTTGGTGAAACTCCTGCGATGTCTGTAGTTATAGGATGAATGCTTCATGTGCATTCTCTTATTGTCCATTATGGGATTTTAAAGTGTGTGATCACATTCAATAGTGTGTATCACAGAGGTGTTCCACTTCAGTACTGGGGATTGGGTAATCCATTTGGCTCTTTCCCTGCCTGGACTGTGAATTAGTTTTGACTTAATCTGTATGACTACCTTACTTTGCCCTAGTGCTGCAGTGGATGTGGAAAATATATGATCGCAGAAGAGCAGGGTTATGTAGGATTTTGGCTCCACCTTGTGGTAGATATATGGTATTATTTATGTACGCTAGATCCACTACCAGTCATACAGGAAATTTACTTTTAATTGTTTGAAAAATACTTTTGTGAAATATTACAGATATCCATAGTGCTTTTTTGAAATGAGGTATTCAAATGCAATTTAAATGTTTCCTTTTTCCCTATGTTGTACCAATGCCATGTAGACATCACAAGTTCATCTAAGTTTATAAATTTGAATTTGGATTGATTTAAATGTCCCTCAGAGTGCATCAGAACTTCAATTTAAGAACTTAATGTTTCTCACACAGATGTGCATCTTAAGTACTGTAGTTTCTAAATAGTCTATTAGAAGATATAAAAAGTATATCACATATAATTCTGGCAGCTGCATGCTCTTAATATAAGGAAATGTTATCGTGTGTGGTGGATACAAAAGAGATTGCTTGTGATGGGAGAAATGGAAATGTACTGGTTAGGCACTGACTGTAACTGAATCCATGAATGTCAATTATAAGAAATTAGATTATTGTGGTCAGTTAAGCACTGTGACCCACAGATGGCAGTGTAATATAGGCTGATACAACTACCTCTGAACTACTGATGGGTGTAGACAATGAAAAAAGAGTGTTTAGTGTGACATCATCTAACAAGCTGGTTGTAGTCATCTGCAGCATGGTCTGTGGGCAGTTGTCCAGTATTTTCTGCCTTATTTTAAACATAAAAATGTGAAGTAAGATTCTCATCCTGTCCAGCATGTAGCCTGTATTACGTCATGTGCTGTGTGGGACGTCCTCCATACCCCCTACAATCCTGCTCAGGATAAGTTGTGAAAGCTGGTTGGATGGATGGATGGATGGATGGATGGATGGATGGATGGAAAGTATGCTCTGTGGTGATCTGGAGCAGAAGCAGCTTCAGCTGGTCGCCTTTAGACTTTCCTTAACATCAGCAGCACTTGTTTAAACATGATTCTGCAATACTGCATGCTGTGTCTGTGATGTTGAATGTGAAATCAATCAACAAATAAAGAGTCACTCAGCAGGCAAACAGCCCAGCTGCTGCATTTACTGCATGACAGGCACTCTGCCAAAATGGAGGCGGGGGGGGGGTGCAGAGACCCAATGAGAAAGACCTGAGATCTACAATACACTAACACCAAGGAAGATTTCAAATAAATCCAGAGAGGAAGGCAACCAGCAACCTATTGGAAATTCCATAATCAAAGCCGGGATCATAGGAGATGAAAACACCCAGCCGTTCTGGGCTCCCTTTCCTAGGAAAGTCTGTGGGCTGCATCTTGTATAAAACAAGCTAGGATATCAGGTCATGTTAGCCACATCCTCTGCACAGGAGCTCTAGAGGAACCATGAGAGCTACTGTGATTAATGCTGTTATCCACCACAGATCACCACAGATCCAAGGATTTGATCTATAATCACATGGTCTCTTACATGCAAATTGTAATTTGAGGTAGAACACGAGCCCCAGACTTGCTCATTTTTTAAATTAATCTTGAATCGGTGACAAAGGTCCTGACATAAAATCATCAGTGGTCAATGTGTATTACTGTAGTTTTCAGATCATCTCAAATTAAATTCTCATGTCACGTTAAATATTTTTTGTTCATTGAGGGCTTTTTTTGGATTCCACACATTGTCGAATAGTCATCCTGCCCACAATAAGAAATAAGCAATAACAGCTCGTTAGCATTGTGGTTCCCACCCCCTGCCCCCACCTCCCCTCTCACAGACACCTCACACAAGCTAAGGATGCAGAAAAAAGGCCTTGACAAGTTGTTACTGGATGGCACCAAAAGCTCCTGCTTACCTAAACAAAGCAAGCACAGTCTCCCTGCTGTCGGCATTACAGCATGTGCTGACATCTAGGACAGACTGGGTCCTTACCCCCCCCCCCNCGTGTTTCGGGTGGTTCTTTGGGGTGTTTTCAATGGACCCTTTTCGGGGATGTTTGTGAGTTCGAAGGCTGAAACATGGTTTGCGAATTGGCACAAATTTTTTTCGAATATCTGGTTCGTAACCCCATTTGTTCATGAACAGGATTGTTCGTGGGTCAAGGTACCACTTTGTGTGTGTGTGTGTGTGTATATATATATATATATATATATACACTATATATATACACTATATATATATATATATATATATATATATATGTATATATATATATATATATATATATATACAGACGCTCCTCTACTTACGAACGAGTTACATTCATACCTTGAAATGTCCATAAGTCGTTATTCAACATCATTTTACAGGTATACGCAAGTACAAAGAACTAGGATGCTAGGAGTACACATGCTACGTTGTGGGAGTAGCAGCCAGAAGTCGTACTCGGTGTTTTTGGTGCGAAGAAAAATAATTTGATGCTATGGACAGGAAACGGGAGCCCAAGGAACACAATTTGGACTTACAGTCCTCTTCATTCGTATGTCTGAAAGTTCGTAAGTTGAAAGTTCGTAAGTAGAGAAGTGTCTGTATATACAATATATATACTGTATATATTTCTTCCTGGGTTCTTACTGATCATATTTAGATTTAGCATCCTCAGTAATGCATAAGTAATGTATTCATTTTCACAGCCGAGGTGTATTCTGGACATCAGTTGTCCTTTTTTTAATGGTGGCTGGGTGATTCCAGAGAAATGGGGTTATGGGAGTGAGTCACTAGGACATTATGTGACTGGCTTACGGCTGACGGATTACACTGTCAGCCTAACCACATCATTACCTTGCACATTCCTGCTACATCAGCAGATATGGGGCCTCTTCATCTCTCTGAATGGGCAGAGCGTAATGCATCAGGTCAGAATGCTGGACCACACTACACTGAACCAGAGAGTTTGCTCTGCAAAGCATAGATTCTTTTCAGAACGGGAAAGTTTGCATTTAAAAATGGTTATCTACTGTATAAGAACCCTACAAATATATCTTCTCAGCAAGCCATTTCATTTCAATATCTCAGTTATTTTGCATGCAACGTTACAATAGCAACTGTATCCCCCCAGAAAACCTTTCAGTGTGTTTATGATTAACCAGCCTGGTTAATGTTTATTTGTATTCAGATTCACGCAGTTCGCGAGTAACCCCCTTTAGGTGGCTGTCTGGGATAGGGTGACCACCAGCATGACTCAACTGTGTCCAAAAAGGAGGACCAAGAGTCAAATGGGACACCCATTAAAAGCTGTTGAGTGGTGGGAGGGGTGTGTATATATTAGGCACATATTATAGAAGCTGAGAATTATCTTGTTATTTCAATAATGCCATAAAATAATAATTGCAACCACGGCTATTCTTGGCATCCGTAGTGTATATGCAGGAATTTCACGCGAGTAGGGGGGAGGGGAAAAGGGCGGCACCCAACAGCAGGTTGTCCGGACAAAATCTGGATGAGTGGTCACACTAACCTGGAGCCAAAATTCTCTACTTGTTATCCCATATGACAGCCATTGTGTTAACTTGTTTCCAAGGAGGACAGGAAACACGGACTGATCTTTTTCCAGGGTGGTCTGGAAACAAAAAAAGCCACCGTGCTTTAACTCAAATCCTAAGAAAGACCAAGCAATAGAGGGTTTATTAAACTCTGTGACTCCCTTTTGAGGGCAGTCGGTTTCTGAGACTGAAACCCCCCAAGTGCCTCTGGTCCTAAGACACCTACAGTAAGTCAGCTGTCGTGAATGTAATTCAATGCTGTGTGACAGAAAATCTCTGTGGTGGATACAATGAAGCTCTGAGCTGTTCAGGGTCAGAACTTTCTTTAGGGGAGTTTCGGCTGATGAAACACTTATCATAAAGTTAAATCACTGTCACGGAGGGAATTAGCAAGTGGAGAAGTCAGGCTTCCTCAATATAGCTTGATACATGTTCACATAGAATGGGGTTCTAACACTCTTCACTGTATTTCACTCAAGAACAGCTGACACAGGCATTGAATGGGAGATAATAAATGTTATGGGACATTTAATGACAATAAATAAGAACAATGTGGTCACGGCTGCCAAGGTAGGAACCACATAGGTAATATAATCATAACACATTAGCGCCAGTGTACTTTAATTACCTACGGCAAACATTTAAATTGAACAAGTGAAGTGTGAAAAGCACTGTTTTGGAGCACTGGTGCAAAAATCTTGCTTTTCTGACATGTGAAAATAATGCAACACATTAAATTAAGTCATTCACACTGCATCTGGGTCTGTGAGCTAATAACTGTGGATTTATTGAGCAACACTAGACACATTACTAGTATTTCACTGTTAGTCTTCTGTAATGGATGCAAACATTGTTTTCTGTTAAAATACCTACCTTGCACATGTATTGTCAGTAACAATTCTTAATTTAACAAATAGTTTGATATATGTACAAAACTAAGACCAGTAAGAACATTGTAAAATGAACAATGCTATCCATATCAAGATGCCATTTAAGTGGAGTGTATTTCAATGCCATTTGTCTTGTTTATTACAGATTTAGTACTTATACCATTAAAAAGCAATTATGTGTTGTTTTGGAGCTAGAGACCCATTTAGAAAAAACTGAAAATGAATGTTATAGACTACTGCTCCATTAACAAATTAGAAACCACGGTTATATCTCTAGATGCAGAGAAAGCATTTGACAAAGTAAATTTCTATTTGCAGTTCTACATAAATTTGGATTTGGTTCATCCTTCATAAGCTGGATCAAAACACTTTACAGTTCTCCAAATGCACGTGTTGGACAAATGAACTAATTTCTCAAAGCTTCCGTTTGCAGAGGGGCACCAGGCAGGGCTGCCCGCTCTCTCCCTCGCTTTTTCTTATCTTCATTGAGCCACTAGCAGCAGCAATTAGACAAAATGTAGATATTAAAGGAATTCAAACAGAAAAAATTGACCATAAGATAAGTCTTTATTACTCTTTCTTAGGAACTCAACAACCTCTCTTCTTAAGACAATATCACTTATAGATAAGTTCTCATCTATATCAGACTACTCCGTCTACACGGATGCAGCAATTGGAGATTATGTCCTTTCTACTTTACTCATATCGTTCTTGACTTATCTTTCTCACTTATTCCTTCTTTTTTCTTTCTTTTTTTTGTTCTTTTCTTTCCTTTCTTTTTCTTCCCCCTTCCTAATCTGTCCCTCCTCTTCGGCCAGCTGAGCCACTGCAATATTTTACATGTGCTAAAAATGAAATAAATAAATAAAATAAAAAGAAATTGATCAACATGAGGGGCCCATACAGAGTTTATAGAGCCGCTCATGGCAAAGCAAACATGTTTGGCACAGCAGTGCATTCAGACCACGATTCTGCTAAAGCTGCTGGACAGGACAAAAGAAAGAAAATAACTGAAAAGAACAGAAACCATACTATTCAGTAACAAAATAAATATTTTACAATGTTATGTGTAAAATGGTACAAGAAGGTATTCAACTAATATGGCTAGCTGAGAAAATGCATTTCAGAATGGACAAGGTGGCTGAACACAGAGATGAAATGACTTAATGTAATCAATAATCAGTCAATAGCCACCATACATTCTTCTTACTTTAATTTATAACTTAATTATAACTTAATTTAATTTATCTCTATTGAACCCCCAATGATTTACCAATTGCATTTTGACTGACCTTCCATTAAATATCTATTAAACATCTCATGTAGATAACAAACCTCCACACACCCAGAAAACAGTCAAATATGGCCAAATATTGCATAGCTTTAGAAGTTTGTGGTAATAAATTCCAATGTATGATATTTGTAAACATTCTTTGTTTATAAACATTACTGCCAATATTTTGTAGTAATTTTTAAAGTGTAATGCCAAAAATGCTAGGTGTTCCCACAATTAGTGGGAGTCATTAGTGTAGGCGTTTGTCTTCATTTGTGGCTTTAATTACAGTTACTATAGATCAGGGGTCACCAACCTTTTTGAATCTGAGAGCTACTTCATGGGTACTGAGCCATACGAAGGGCTACCAGTTTGAAACGGCCTCCTAAACTTGTCTAAACTTCATGCATAAGAAACATGTTTTAAATGC